GTACCCGCGTACGGACCCCCAAAATTTTTCCCGCGCAAATTCATAACTCGGGGTTCTGATATGCTACAAAGCTGAAATTTTAGGGGAATTTTCCCCGTCCAAGCAGGTGCTGATGAGCTTCCAGCCCTCGGGTAAGCGTGGTACCCACGTACGGGCCCCCAAAATTTCTCTCGCGCAAGTTCATAACTCGGGGATCTAAGAAGCTAGAAGGCTGAAATCTAGAGGTAATGTTCCCTGCCCAATTGGGTATTAGTGGGCTCAAACCCAGCCCCCGGATAAGCGTAGTACCCGCGTACGAGCTCGCCAAAGTTTTTTTCAGGTAAGTTCATAACTCGGGGATCTGAAAAGCTAGAAGGCTGAAATCTTGGGGGAATGTCCCCTGCCCAAGTGGGTATTAGTGGGCTCAAACCCACCCCCGGTAAGCATGGTACCCACGTACGGGCCCTCCAAAATTCTTTTCGTGTAAATTAATAACTCAAGAGGAATGCAATTTTAAGAGGATATACCCCGTCCACCTAAGTTTCATTCAGCTCGAACCCAGCTTTCGGTTACGCTTGGTAAACATGCACGAGTCCGTGAAAATTTTGTTCCAGTAAGTTGCTAACTCAGGTGTCAGGGAAGCTAGAAAGTTAAAATTTTTAGGGGATGTTTTCTGACAGTTTTGGTAGCCAGTCTTAATTTGTTTAGCTAGAAGCATTTGCCGAAAAAAATCGGTGCCGGTAGCAACAAAACTGCGGGAAACCAGACAAAAAACGCATCTTCGCACGGGCAGGCCGTGCGTTGGCCAATTATTATTGGATGCGGCGACACTCCGAATTGGCCTGGCTGCCTTGCAAGTGCAAACAGCAGTCACCCGGCTGGGAATACCACGTAATTAGACTCTCCGTGTATCTATGCGTACGTAGTTCTGCTGGTGGTGTATATCTTTTTTTGATCTTTAACTGCAAACTTCCGCTAAACAGAGTTGCACAAACGCCTGATCGTACACGCCACAGTTGAAATAGTAATGTGTCTAATTAAGTCATTTAAGGAGAGGGTAATGTACGTCCGTCTAATTAATTCTATCGACTATATCTTTCTGTCCTGGTGATTTAGCAGACGGTCTCTCTGGCTGTTCACATTCGTCCAGTTTTGACTGGACAAATCTGTGTCTGAGGAATCCGGGTAATTTCGTAGGCTGTTTCAATGGATTGCATTATTCTCTTATAATATTTTATCTGGCAGTGTATGTTTATCCAGATGATTCACACGATGATTTTTGCTGTAGGATTCGTGAGGCGATATGTCTCTGTGAACGATTTGGCTGGCAGTCCTCATCATCCGAATGCAGCTGAAAGTGTAGAACTGTTCGGATCGTTCATTCCCAAACTCGGGTGCTCATTTTTTCGATTAAAAATACATGAGAATGTTTGCAGGGTGTTGGTGCGCTTGGTTTGCAGTATTTCCTGCAGTGGTGTTTATTTCATTTCATTCGCTCAGTGATTGAATACGGCAATCGCGCAATTACCATGCACCAGCAGCAACAGCAATTGCCGCCGAGCACTTCCTCTAAACCAGCGAATACGGGGCAGTTTGATTCATCGTTATCTGCGGCCACTGTCGCTCCCTCGTTTTTGGACGACCCTCCTATAACTTCTGCTCGCTTCGCACCGTAAGTAGCCGTTTGGTTGTCACAGCAGCAATTTGCATGATCTCTGACTCGGCTGGGCGTGTGTTGTTGGGCCATCTCTTCGGCTCGTTAAGAAATCTGTGCATTAGTCCTGGCATTGAAAACAGTGTTGTTTGGTACTTGATGTTGGCGAAGGCAAATATGTAAACGGAGTAGTTGTTGTCGAAGTTATCACTTCTGTTTCAAGATGGCTGGCTTGGTGTGGTGACAGATGATGCTGCCTCTTAGACTGTACTTGA